TTTTTTTTAGGGCAAAAGGTAATTTCATAACATATAAATATCCTCTATTTCTAGAAACAATATAACATTTTTTTAATATCTTTTGCTTGGTATGAATGATATTATTCATTTTATTATCAAATTCTCAATTTTATTCTATATCGCTTGGATTTTAATTTTCAGTCAGGAATTGCTTGATAAACCAAGGCCCCATTTAGTATATGGTTGTAGTTTTTATTTTTTATTTTGATTTTTATAAATTTGTAATTTTAAATGAAAAAATTAGTTTACTTTCATTTAAGATTTAACATATTATTATAGTTATTAGAAAAAAAGTAAAAAATAAATTTAATACAATTAAATATGTTTCCGGTTGTAGTTGTCAATGTTAAAATTCTTCTTGAAGATATTTTTAATTTTAATTTTTAGTATACTTGCAAAATTTTTTTAAAATTAAAATAAAAAATAAAAAGTTAAAAGTATACTAAACAAAACTTAAATAATTGGAGCTTTTCCCATTGTATAGCTTCGGTGTAAACTACCATAGACATCCTTGTTTTCTTCTAGCATTCCCTAACTATTTCTTTTGCCCTTAGTGTCTTTGAAAGATTTTCTCAAGTTTTTAATAAATAATTATGTATTTTAAGAAAAACAATATTAAAATTATTATCGAGCACATTGCGCTCAACATGAGCTCCAGAAAAAAAAAATGTTGGTAAATCATGCAAATGTGCAAGGGAAATAAGGAAATTGCAAAGGTAAATAAATGGATTTTGAATTTCTTAACTGTCTTGACATGAAGTTAACGAACATCTAATGAGTGTGTTAACGGAAGTTGTGAAATTTGATGCAAGGAATGACTATTTTTTTTAAAAGAATTAGATTTTATTTGCTATAAGAAAAGGTTTTAGATTTTTTTTGCCGATTTTTTTAACTATCTAAGAATTTTATTTATTATTAAACTAATTAGATACATATTAGTAAGATTCTTTGAGGCACATGTTAAGAATATTTGTTTAACATTAATTATTATTAAAAAAA